TATATAAGTCTAACTGTTATTGCTATTGCTATTGCTATTGCTATTGCTATTGCTATTGCTATGCTAGTCGTTCCCAACTCTAGGGGCGGTGCTCATCTCCGTTTCAAAGCCAAAGAGCCAGCACTGTCCGAAGACATCTCCATGGCCATGGAGACATCATGACTAAGCGCCAAAGGCGGATGGAACGCTGTTACCTTCCCACCAAAGGTGGTCCCTATTTTTCTACATGCATTTTTAACGTGCTTTCGAACTGCTAGGTTGGCGGAAGCTGGGACAAGTAACGGCAGCTCACTTCGTTACACAACACTAGGGATTCGACCCGCCGAACTGCCAACTTTTTTGATCGACCAACTCAGCATCTTAGCCACTGAGCCCCATGTCCCCTATTAACCTTGTTAACTTGTTACATTCATCTCATTTGGCCAAAACATGAAGTTACTTCAGGCATTTTGATGCCTCTCCGCCAAATCTATGTATATAATGCAAATCTTGAAGAAACTCAGACTGAGTTGTTTATTCCCCAACTTGACAGCGAAAACCCACATTGAATCCTTCTCTCTCCCAATCCTGGATCCCACATTCAGGGCAGCTAATTTGCATAAAGCCACCTTCCCTGATCCCTGGATTCACCATCTTCACAGACAACAGCAGGTGGCAGCAGGAAGATTTCCCTATGAAGCTCTGGCTTCTTGTGGGTGAGGATCTTGTGTTAGTCTCTTAACCGTTGAAGCTCAGAGGGAATTTAGAGAGTGAGGCAGAATAAAGTACTTCTGACAGATACAGAAGATTATAGGCCATTTTGGTCCTACTGAGCAAAGAGGGTGGGAGGGTTGTGGAGTGAGTAATCAATGCTGTGTTAAATGCTTCTTAGACTTCATCCACGAAAGGAACAGCTTCCTGGCCCCTTAACTGAACAGTCCCTTCCTTTCCCTTGTAAATCTTATCCTCTAGTATCAGCTGTACTGGATCAGCCTGAGCACCTCCTCCTCCTCCTTCTTTTTCTTCTTCTTCTACTTTTTCCTCCTCCTCCTCTTCTCCTTCCTTTTCTTCTGCTTCCTCTTCCTCTTCTTCTTNTTAGTTTCCACTCATTGCTTCTTGTTCTACCCTGAAGTGCCTTGGATAATAGTTTGACTCCCTCTTCTTTGTGGCAGCCCCTGAGATATTGGAAGACTGCTATCATGTCTCCCCTAGTCTTTCCTTTCTCTAGGCTTGCCAAACCCAAATCCTGCAGCCGTTCTTCATACATGCCTTTTTATATGTGCACGAAAGACATTCGTCTGGGAAAGGGATTTCCATACTTTCTAGCTGTTTCCTTCCCTCGTGCTGCTTTTGGCTGAGAAACTCCTACTCTGGTGACGCAGAGACCTTGAGGATCCAGATCAACCTGAACTGCAGCTGATCAGTGGTGGCAAAAGGGGAATGTGAGGTGAAGCATGAGAGAGAGAGAGCCGTCGCCCCCACCTCCCAATGCTTCCGGGTGCAATTTCTCCACTGCATCTGTCAGATGTTGTTTGGGCTGCTTTCAAACAGCCTGGGGATCCGCTGCCAGAGTTGGGAGAAGGAGAGATTGCTCTTTACTTCCCAGGAGTCCAATCTCAGAGATCAGCTCTGAAGGATGGAGATGGGGGGGGGAGGCCCTTTTCTTGCCATCCCTCCCACCCCTGAGAATTGTTCTCCAAGCAGAGAGGGGTCTGGAAAAGGTTGAGAGTCCATTCTGCCCTTCCCTTGCCATCTTCCAATGCCGTCAAGAGCATGGGCAAAGTTTGATGTGCCTTTTGTCCAATGGCCAACCCAGATTGCCACAATCTCCCTGGAAAAAAAGACTAGAGAAGACAAATTTTACTTTAAAGCCATTTGGAATGTTTTCACTTTTGCTGGAGTAGAAGAGTTTGGGCATTGATTCAGCACAGTTTAAATTTTTACCAGATAACCCTTGTTAAAGGTAAAGGTGCCCAACACACATACATGCACAGAGCCGAGGTGGCGCAGTGGTTTAATGCAGCACTGCAGGCTACTTCAGCTGACTGCAGTTCTGCAGTTCGG